AGAAAAAAGTTCTTTGGAATGCAACACAGGTTTGAAAATTATACTTACTTGAAAACTAAGGGATGCCTGAAAACAGAGACACTTGGAGCTGTCTTCCTTTGGCAAACACGGCAGCATCGTCTGTCCCCAGAAGACAAAATCCTGGCAGTGGTGCCTTTGCTTTAGAGGTGCTGCTGTCTATAAGCCAGTCTAGTCCCCAACAGTTTCCTGCAACCACCAAGAGAAGGAAGGACACTCAGAAAAGGGATAAATGACAGGCTTCCTGGCTTACCAGTCTTGTCCTGCCCTGCAGCAATCAAAAGCTTATATCGTCAGAGGCAAAGTATATTTCCATAAGAGATTCCCCAAAGCTAGACATTTTCCAGAAATGATTTGCTCAAGATGATAGATTTGATCATCTTGGAAAAAATTTTCCAAGCAATAGCTTCACAAGCTATCCTCAGTACTTTATTCTCTCCATGAAGACCAACAATAAAAGTGAGGAATAAAAACCATCACAGAAAAATCCACTTCAGTTTGTTTGTTTCCTGCTAAGTAAAATGTGAGTTTCTGCCTTCACCCAAGAACATCACAAACCACTTTGCTTAAGGAGTAGGCCTCGATGGTGGTAGACTAGATTTCAAGTCTCAGCATGGCCATGCATTAGCTCCAAGGCCTTGGACAAGTTGTACAAAGTTTATAAGCCTCAGTTGCTTCATTTGTAAAATAGAGGTAATAAATCTACTTCATGGAATTGTTGTGAACATTAAATGAGATAACTACATGTAAAGTACTTAGTATGATGTGTAGCATAGAATAAAATAACCAATAAATGTTTTCTGTTATTATCTATGAGAGTTCCCTCAAAACATGTGCAGAGAATTTCAGTCAGTTCGATGGCTTGTTCAGTTGGTGGAAATTTGTGCTTATGACTGTGATCTTATCCTACGTACATATGTGCTAGTCACATTGTCTTCAGCTGAAACTGTCCCTCAATCACAGAAAGGAAACAATACACCAGTCATCTGACACTGTTCCACAGAATGCACCAGTCTCACCAAGGCTTCCATGTTCTGACTCTCACCAGGGCAGAGCCCCTGGAACAAGTCAGAGAATCACTGTTAGGAAACAAAATAGACAACCACCCTGTAGTGATTCCATTGCGAAAAGCCCAACACAAAGATTTTAAAGCATTTTTTAAAGGCAATACCTTTTTAAAGGTTATGAAAGACTCCAGCAAGAGAGGAGTTAGAACTTGACCCTACTGCAGTAGGGATACTACATCAGCTGTGGTCATCACTACCAGCAGGAAATGAGAAGTCTGTGTTTCCTTCAATAACTAGTGCAGACCCTTTAAGGAATAAGGCAAGTAGACAGGCAGAAAGGAAGGAAAGTAGAGGAGGGAGGTGGAAGAGAGGACGAGCCTGGAGACTTAGCAGCAGTAGGACATAGCCTTGCTTTTTTAATATTGGGGGTAGAGCTGCAAGACCTCTAAAGCTAAAGGTGGTTCCCTGTATCCCACTGTGATCAACAACATGACATAGTCTGATCTATAAAAGAGATTTTTTTTCTAGTTTTGTGGGCCATGTTGGAGATAAGATCCAAGACTGGGGCGATGGCTAGGACCTGTAATCCCAGCACTTTGGGAGGCCAAGGTGGGCAGATCACTTGATGTCAGGAGTTCAAGACCAGCCTAGCCAGCATGGTGAAAACCCATCTCTACTAAAAATACAAAAAACAAACAAACAAATAAAACAGATGGGCATGGTGGCAAATGCCAGTAATCTCAGCAATTCTGGAGGCTGAGGCAGAAGAAATGATTGAGCTTGGGAGGTGGAGGTTGCAGTAAGCCAAGATCACACCACTGCCCTTCAGCCTGGACAACAGACCCAGGCTTTTTCTTAAAAAAATAAAAATATAAATAAATAAATAAATAAATCCATGACTTGAGTCTCATTGGCTTACTTGCTTCAATGTGGTGGTAAATGTTACTTACATCTATCACAAACAGTGTTCTCCATCATTCATCTGAGATGTTTCCATGGAAATGTGGCTTCCTGATTCTAATATGGAAGAACCACCCCTGACATACAAGATGCTCCATCCTCATAACTCTTCTTCCTTATTGCTACCAAAGTTGCCCTTTTCCTTCCTCTAAAACATATGCTAGCTTCTCAGAAGCCCAGGAGAGATCATGAGCCTATCCAAGACCTATCATTCGTGGCTAGATTATTGGGATCCAAGAAGAGAGAGAAGGAGAAAGGAAGAGCAACCCCAGCCATCCCTTTTGTTCTCCTACTTAGAACTTTTTCGACCACCACTAGTGTCTCCCAGTATATCAATCATATCTCAGAAGACAATAAAGCTACAAGAGTCAAGACAGCACTGCCATAAAGATAATAAACACCAATAACACAGAAATAAAGCTTTAATTTATAGTCAATTAATTTTCTTTTCTTTTCTTTTGATACAGTCTCACTCTGTCACCCAGGCTGGAGGGCAGTGGCATGATCTTGACTCACTGCAATCTTCACCTCCTGGGTTAAAGCAATTCTTGTGCCTCAGCTTCCTGAGTAGCTGGGATTACAGGTGTGTGCCACCACATCCAGCTAATTTTTGTATTTTCAGTAGAGATGGGGTTTTGTTATTTTGACTAGGCTGGTCTCAAACCCCTGGCCGCAAGTGATCTGGCCACCTCAGCCTTGCAAAATGCTGGGTTTATAGGCATGAACCACCAAAACCAGCCCATAATTCATTGATTTTCAATAAAAGTGTCAAAGCAATTTGAGGGGTACAAATAAACTACTCAACAACAAGGGCTAGAACAATAAAATCTGGGATTTTTTTGTTTGTTTGTTGCTATTGATGTTGGATTATTATTTAAGAACCATATCAGTTTACTGTTTATTTTGTTTTTTTGGGGTTTTATTGAGACAATTTTTGGCATTTCATATTTTCTAGGGATGTATTTATTTCATCTAAAATTTTTCAAATCTTTGTTGTATCTGCAGTGATACCACTTTTTCATTATGTGTCTTATTTGCTGCTGCTTTTATGTGGATTAATCTTATCAGATGTCTACTTTGTTAATCTTTTCAAAGAATCAGCTTTTGGTTTTGTTAATCTCCTATATTCTTGATTTTCTTTATTTCTACCTTTGTCTTCATCATTTCTACCTTTATCTTTACCATTTATTTCCTTCTTGTTTTTTTGGGTTTATCACTGCTATTTTTCCCACTTCATGAGCTGAAGTTAATTCATTTCTTTTGAAACTTTATTATTTCATGTTATTTTTGAAGCTATACTTTTTTTGTTTAACTGTATTCACAAATTTTAGCATGTGAATTATTTTGAAGTATTTAGCTTTCAAATATATGAGATATAAGTGACTACTTTGTAATTTATGTTTAATTTTATTGCATTATGCTCAGAGAACTTGGTGAAATTGATTTATAGTTTATTGTTGTAAGTGTTCCATGTGTGCTTGAAAATGATGTGTATTCTCTGTAGGATACATAAATGTATGCATGTATATATTTAGATATATTAGCATGAGCTAATTTATTATATTTTACTGTTCAGGTCTTGATCCTGCTGCTTATTTGTGTGTATGTACGTATTTATGCTTGATTTATGGTTTCTTGAGGGGTGAGTATAAAATTTCCAGCCATACCTGTTGATTTATCTATTTCTTCCTAAAATTCTGCTTGTTGGGTTTTGATGGTATTTACAGCTGTGTGATTAGGTACATAACAGATTTAAATGGTTATATATTTTTATTCCATTGCTCCTTTACTGTATATAGCATCCTGCTTTGTCTCTATTAAAATTTTTGGTTTTTCAGTTTTATTTAATCAGCTTTTAAGATGTCCACCCCAAATTTCTGTCCTGTCTATATTTTTTATATACTGTATGTTTTGTCTTCTTTTACTCCTTCCCACTTTCTATCGACTAGGTCTACTTATTTTACCTTCTGGTTTAAAAGCTATGTGTTCTATTTCTGTTCACATAGTGATAGTTCTTAACCCATATGGATTATTATTGGTCCTTATTTGTTTCTTAAAGTTAGCAGTATCTAGATGTGATATTCAAAGTACTATATAACAATTGAAAACGTAACTGACACTGACCAATAAAAAATCAGAATGATCACTGGTTAGCATGCTTATGGACCTGGGCTTGGAGAATATCAGTGTTACACTCTAAATGGTGTCCCCTCAAAATTCATATGCGGAAGTCCTAACTTCTGTACCTCAGAATGCGAACATTTGGAGATAGGATCTGTACCGAGATTATTAGGTTACAATGAGGTCGTTAGGATGAGTTCTGATCTAACATAACTGGTGTCTTTATAAAAAGAGATTAGGATACAGCTGCGTGGCTATGAAAATACAGGAAAAAGACAAACATCTACAAGTCAATGAGGGAGGCCTCAGGGAAAACCATCCCTGCCAAGGGACGTCCCTGCCAAGACCTTGATCTGGTTAAGTAGTTTACAATTCTAGAGGAATTGTGAAAAAATAAACTTCTGTTATTTAAACTACTCAACCTGTGGTACTTTGTTATGGCAGCCCTAGCAAACTAGTACAATCAGTCTGTCAAGATCTGTATCTTTTCCCTAAACACAAATGTGGCCTGACAGGTTCCATGGTCCCTTAGTGTCCTGTGATCCATATCCCACACCATGCTGATAGTACCTAGAATCCCCAAATACTTTATCATCCTCTCTTGCAGCATGTCTGTTGCACAAGCTCCTGAGTGTATTTACTTCTAAACAGTACTCTCCCCAAAACACTTTCAATGTATGCTTTCGTAAGACAAAATTTTGAGAACTTAAATACCTGAGAATATTTTTATTACCCCTCACAATCAAATGGCAATTTTATTACATGTAAAACCTTATATTCAATGTGATTTTCTATCAATATGTTAAAAGTACTGCCTCACTGTCTTCTCACATCATGTTGCTGTGAAGGAGTCTGACTACCAATCTGATTCTTGTTTATTTTAGGTGATCTTCACTTTCTGGAAGCTTGTAGAACTTTTTCTTTGTACTTGACATTCTTAGATATTATAATATGTAGGGTGAGTTTTCCTTTTCTTTTATGTTTAACAGTTCATGAACCCTTTCAAACTGAAGTCTTCCATCTTTGTTTAAGTTGGAGTAATTGTCTCTGTTATTTCTCTAGATTATTTCCTTCCATATAGCTCCACTTTCTTTCTGAGTATTCTAATACTAGATATTGGCCCCTTCTCTGCCATGCCTGTTAGCTTTTTTATTTTTCTGTTTGTTTTCTTTTTTATATACATTCCTGCTGCCTCCTGGAAGAATTTCTTAATTTACTGTTCTACTTCATTAATTAATTTTTTCAGTTATACCTGTCCTCCTATTTATCTCATATATTTTTCTTCCTTTTAAGTCATACTTTATAATTCTACTTGCTATTATTATTTTTTCTTCCATTGCTAATATTTTCCCTTATCAACTTAAGTGTTTCTATCATATTTATTTTAAATTCTTAGTTCACGTCTAACAATACATATACCCCTCAGATGTCTGGTCATTTTAGACCAGAAGTTTTCCCATGAGGATACCAGCTGCCCAGTCCAGTTTAAATGAGTTAATAAAGAGAGAATGAACCTCCGTATGGCAATCCCAGACATCACCAAACCACTGTGAATTACTCTGATTTGTAGGAACCCATCATGTAGCTCTATTGCTCAGGTCTTGACCTTAAACCTTAAGGAGAAGACACATTATGAGAAGGTAGACTCCCTATGCTTTAATCCATGAGCCCTGTGAGTATGAACGATAAGGGTAAGGCAAGTGAGTCCAGAAGCCCCTGTTTTCATTAACTCTTCCCTCAGCAATATTTATGCTGCCTCTCTATGACCCCGGGTCACTTCTGTAGTGAAGGGGCAGGTGATGGCTGTCTTGAGGTAAAGCCAGAGAAAGACAAGAGCGGAATCCAAAAAGCTCCACTATCACCTTGGGCTACCTTCTTTCCCTGGCTGAAACTGACACACCCAAGAGCAAATAGTCTTCTGCACCCTCAAGGGGTTCCCAAAGTTTGTTGCTTAGTTTTATTCATTCTTAGAATTCATGTTTCACTTCTTATTTTTTTTCTTTTCTCTAGGATTAATTTGAGGGAAGAGGGCATCATCTTTGTTGGAACCAGAAATCTTCCTACACAGGTTGAGGTATATTTCCCACAGTTTATAAATGCATGTGAAATTGTTCACCTATAATAACATAAAGTGTTAAATTAAATGATGATGATATTCCAATCACCCCACAAAAATTCCAAATGTCCTCATTATTGTGTCTTCTCTTCTATTCAAAAATCATTCGCTAGAAGTGTGTGTCCCTTAAGGGGCCTGCCCTGCCTGCCTGTGTCATTCATTTGCTGCCTCCCTGTCAGGAGCTGCCCTCGCTGCATTCCGGACAGGATTTTGACAGGGTCTAGGATGTCAGACATGTTTATTAGCATTCACTTTTCTCATTAGCCTGTTAAGGACTTGCTAATTAAAACGGCTTTTAAACATCTTTTAGTTACAATTAGTCACTAGCATAAAGTTGTCCATATTGTTTCTGCCATGGCAATAATTTTCCTCTCAGGTCCATTTCTAACTCATTTCCTCAGTATGCAGCCTCATGTGTCCTCAGTATTAGCCATGCTCACTTAACACAACTTGGTTCTCTCAGTTCATACCCCATTAGCTGAATTCCTTCACAGGCACACTCCCTCTCAATTAGCTTTGGAATGTTGTATAGAGGAAACAGCACTACACCAAAGGGTCAAGTTCTAATCTGTGTTCTTCCAGAAACTAGATGTATGACAACAGCAAAATCATTTTGTCCTCCTCAGTTTTTTATAATCTACAAAATGGGGTTAAAGTTGGAAAAGATGGAAATAAATTATTGCAAATGTTCCAAACTCTAAACTTCTGTGATTTAGTTTAAGGTTATCCACAATCTACTTAAGCTTAAGAAATATGTACATATTTCTAGAGACCTAGTTCAACTTACTAGAGAAAGCTTATATTAGTCCGTTCTCATGCTGCCAATAAAGACAAAGGAAAGAGGTTTAATTGACTCAAGAGTTTGGCATATCTGGGAAGGCCTCACAATCATGGAAGAAGGTGAAGAAAGAGAAAGGCATGTCTTACATGGCAATAAGCAAGAGAGCAGGTGCAGAAGAACTGCCCTTTAGAAAACCATTAGATCTCATGAGACATACTATCAAGAGAACAGCACAGGGAAAAACCCACCCACATGATTCAATTTCTTCCCACCAGGTCCTTCGCATGACACTTGAGGATTATGAGAGCTACAATTAGCTAGATTTGGGCAGGGACACAGCCAAACCACATCAAAGTTTCAGTAGCTTTCTGAAGACTCCTGCTAGCTGTCCATTTCCCTCTCATACAATTCAGTGCATCTCACCTCTAGAAGAGTAATATAGTTGGATATCCTACTCATAATTTATTTCCATCAGCACAAACCATGTACTTACTAAATTAATCAAAGACCTACTTAGTCCCCAAATATATAGTAAGTTCATTACTAGAGTTTTTATTTTCATAACTTAGCAGTCGACTGGCTCTAATTTATGAGAAGAGCTCACTATTAACAACATTACTATGGCTAAGCCTCCAGCATCATCCAGACCACCATCTCTGGTCACTTTGAAATCTTAGGAAATATCATTTATTAGTGACTTAATTTAACCTTGACCACTGAACCAGAAATCAATATACACTGAAAGCCCACTTCCCACCAGTGCACAGTATATCCATGTAACAAATATGCACATGTACCTCCAAATCTAAAATAAATAAAATGTTAAAAACTAAAAAGAAATCAGAATTGTCTTCTTGCTTGAAAATGTTCTTGGAAGAGCACTGAATTATTTTTAAACTTCTTGAAGAAGCTGAGCATGGTAGCACAACAAGCCTATAGTCTCAGCTACTCGAGAGGCTGAGGCAAAAGGATCACTTGAGCCCAGAAGTTTGAGGCTGCAATGAGCTATAATTGCACCACTGCACTTCAGACTTCAGTCTGGGCAACAAAGCAAGATCTTGTCTCCAAGAAGTTTGGACTTAGCGCAAATGTGGGGCAAAGGATGACATTGGTTCCTATTTTAGTAAAGGCAGTTGTCTGTTTCAAAAATGGCTGAGCCAAACTACGACACAAAGTTCATTCTGCTAGGTTCTTAGCACAAAGCAACTACTACTGCAAATAATGTGTTTTTCAGCAGCATAATGCTTATAGCTTCTGGAAACTTCAGAGAGAATTTCCTCAGCTCTCAGGAATGATAGGATTCATGATCACACTGGTTCAGTACTTACATCAAAGTAAAACAGGGAAGTCCCAGCCAGGCAGACCCAAAGCAACACTCAGCTTCTCTTTGGAGTCTTTATTCCCAAGAGGTTCTTCAGGCGAACTCCTGGAATTCCAATACCAAAGATATTTTTAAACTATGTTGCAAAGCCCTATTCTTTGTGTTATACTCACATGAGCTTACAAAAAATAATAACTCCCTTGTGACTTTATTAAACAAAATGCACACAGTCTTTATAATAGTTGGACTCTCATTCTGATTACTGTAATTGGTAAACTCTAGAATTGCCTTATCTTTGTTTAAACATATCTTCCCTACATATAACTATATATAACTACACACTATAGATATTTTTTAGTGTAGGCCAGGGTGTCAGCGAACTTTTCCTATAAAGAACCAGATCTTTAGGTGTTATGGGTTTGTCTCTGTCACAACCACTCAACTCTACCGTTGTAGCTCAGAAGCAATTATAGACAATGCATCAATAAATGGATATGGGTGTGCTCCAATAAAACTTTATTTATAAAGTAGATGGTGAACTAGGTTGAGCCCATCATCCAAGTTTCCTGTGCCCTTATCTAAGCAGGCTTAATAATCAGCTCAAATTATTTTGTACATGCTCTAAAAATGAATTGAGTTTTTAATTTAGCAAAGTATTGAACCTTCCCTAAAGATGGAGAATATTTTGTATTTTTATTCTGACATAAAAAAGCAGAGACACATTCCAGATTTAGATTTTCTCATAATTGGAAATTTAAACACAGTTTGGCTAAAATATAATAATAACTAGAATTTTTCAAAGGCTTAATAATTCATAAAGCTTTTTGACATACCTTATTTAATGTAGTCATCACAACACCATTAAATAAGCATTACTTTTTCTTTACATTTTGTAGCTTAGGAAACTACATAAAACTAAGTTAAATGGTTCACTTAGAAACAGCAAGGATTTGAACCCAGATCTCATATCAAAACCATACCAACTTCCCTGTCCATAAACTAACTACTAATAGCAAAATTAGCAGTCATTCTTTGAACAATTGAGCAATAAGTTCTGAATTCAAGTGAAAATTCTAGTTAGTCCACATTTCTTCACTTAATGCACAGTGCTATGAAAAACTACAAATCACTGTGTTATTGTGTATATAGAATATTCAGTACACAAAGCACTCCCCTGGTATACATCCAATAATGCAATTCAAATTTTAAATAAGGTTGATTGTAATAGTCTATTTAGTAAGCCTTTCCTGCTCCCTACTGATGATCAATTTTGTTTTCTAAATATTAAATAACTATAACAATCCACTTTAGAAGTTTTTGTTTAGGAGAAATTTCAGATGTATTTGTCTGTAGTTTCTGTACTACAGATTTATGTGTTTTTGGCACATGTCCAGGTTTTCACAGTAAGTTGATAATTATTGAGATGATTCTGTTATTCTATCTTCTAACTTTTCCAGTACATGAAATTGGACAGTGTCTAGACCTAGGAACTCATTGAAAGCTGCTAAATGATTTCATAATAGTTCCTCTGCAAACTTGAGTCACAATTCAATCTTAAGCAAAAATGTAAGTACCAAATTACATCATTTGAAGACTGTTCTCCATGAAGGAAAAAAAACAGGTAAGAAAAAAAATTCAAATGTTTCTGACTTGTCTGCTTTGGCTAACTCTATGTCACCATCTCGAAGTAGAAATATCTTTCCTTTATTGTTCTTCTTCCTATACAGATACATATTTAACAATTCTTATCATAAAGATAACTGTTGCTATGGTTTCAGATTCTTTTTAAACTTCAACACTTTCATCATTCTTATTACCCAGATCTCATTTTTATTGGCTGTACAACTTTCATCTATTCACCCTAAGATTTATAATACTGCCCATATCTTTTTAAAATATGCTGTATGTTAATAACGCTAAGGACAAAGGAGGAAAAGCTTATGTTTTTTTCCTCAATAACCATTGTATATTTCATTAAAAAAATTAAATATTGTTGTTTTTCAGGTCCCTGCATGTGTAATCCTGTAACACAGTGGAGGTGTGTTTCAGCAGAAATGTGACCTTGCCTGAATCTCTAAATCTCTGAGTCTTGTCTTGTCGGGATCCTCCCCAAATCAGCCCCCAAGGATTTTGGTGCATGTGGCTTATTTGTGGTGGTGATGGTGGTGGTGATGTGATTTGAGAAAACACTATCAGCTAGTGGAGAGTGGGGCAGGGAAGGGAGTGTTGGTGAACAGTGTATTGCTCATGACAGCTGTGGCTTAATCCACACCCCAACCATACCTAGAAATCTCTGAGACACTGTGTTGGACATAGCTCTGAATTGTCCCACCGTGTCGGGGAAGAAGCTGGAAATTTACCCACCTACTCCTGTTCAGCACTAATGAGGGTAGCTCCTGAGGTGTTATCTCTCCAGCATTTTTGGTTTGCTCCAAGGTCAAAGGGCACCCTCATGCAGACAGACCCAGGAAGCTGGCCAAATGCAGGAGAAGCATCTGCTGGCAACTTCCCACATGAGATAAAGGTATATGGGCTGGGCACACACAACACGTGCTACACTCAGGCTTCTTACTTTTTGATGAGAATAAAAATATTTGCCTCAATTATCTCATGGGATGGATGAAAAGATTAATCATTACTATTTTTATGTACCACTTTAGAATTCACAAAATATTTTCAAGGGCATTTTAAAACACATTCCTCACACATTCCAGCAAGGATGGTATACATATCCATAATGACAGTCTCCATTCAACACATGAAAATCTGAGGCTCAGAAAGAGTAAATCATTTGCTTTATATCACAGAACTGGCAATTAGTAAAGGCGGGATTGGAACCAAGTATCCTATCACTCTCAAGCTTTTTCCACCACCGTGTGTTGCATGTGCTCTGTCAAGGTCAAATTATTCTATGTATGTAAGGCATAGTTATTCCTCAAGAGGGGTCATATTAACAGAACAAATGCATAACAAAAATTCTTTCTATTGTGTGTGTATATAGTTTTAAAAATATATCAGTTAGGTCCAGGCATGGTGGCTCACACCTGTAATCCCACCACTTTGGGAAGCTGAGGTGGGTGGACTGCCTGAGGTCAGGAGTTTGAGACCAGCCTGACCAACATGATGAAACCACGTCTCTACTAAAAATACAAAAAATTAGCCAGGTGTGGTGGTGGACACCTGTAATCCCAGCTACTCGGGAGGCTGAGGCAGGAGAATTGCTTGAACCCAGGAGGCGGAGGTTGCATTGAGCCAAGATCATACCACTCTGCACTCCAGCCTGGGCAACAAGAGCGAAACTCTGTCTCAAAATATATATTAGTAAAATGCATAAATGGCACAGAGAGGAGTCCTTTCTGGCTCTTAACCCTGGTGTGGCCATCTGCATGTTGATGTGTACCCATGTGATCAGCTGCTTTGAGAGCCACTTAATTTCATTGAGGATGGAGCAGAATAGAACTAAATCCACCAAAGCACAAAAAGGGACAACATGAACAACCAAATGAAAAAAGGGTTTATGGAGAGATTGAGAACTTTCCATTGGAGTAGACTCAATGCATACAATCCTTTTCTCAATGGAGCTAGTAGGAGAAAATTCAATTATTCCTCAGCCTCCATATATTCTTGGCCACCCACTAGCTGAACTGCATGAAAAAGGCTGACCTACCTTGATTTCTGGTCAAGGCATTTCATTCACTAGAAGAGGGTCAAAAGGCTTCTCTTATGAAGCAAAGACCTGGGATTAAGGTAGAAAGAATAGACCTAGTATATTTACGAAGCAAAGTGTTTTCTTTCACCTTGTTTACATTACTGAATTGTTCTAAAATTATTTCTGTTCCTGCAAGCAAGCAGTCACTTTGGGGTTTTTCTCTGAATAGTAATGGCCCATTTACTTTTTACCCTGTACATTTATTTTCCTTCATTTATTAGATTTCTTGCCCACTGCCCACAGGCCTCTGGGCACAAGTTCAAAACTAAATGCTACAATTACATGAAAAGCAATGGCCAAAGAATATAATTTCACGTAAGAGAAGGGTGGATGGGTGGGTTGAGAGTGGAAGGAGTTCATCAGGGAAGCCAATGCCAAACCAGAAAGGTACATCTTGTACTACACCCTGTAGGCACTAGGCATGAGGAATTATATGCTGGACTCAGTAAATTAGCAAAACCTTTAAAAACCTGAGGTTGGATTTAAATTTAGATGCCAGCAGTTTAAAACGGAGAATAAAGCTGGCCAAAAACTATCCCTCTCTCCTAATCTGTGGCTATATATCTATGTTCAGGAAAGCCAAAATTGAGTCCTGGAGAGAAAATCTCTAGACTCATTGCATAAAGACAAGGTTGATATGGCCAGAATGAGGAAGAAGGACTGGTCACAACAATAGCTAATGTTTATCTAGTGCTTACTTCATGCCAAGCACTATTGTTAACAATAGACATATTCACTGAGAGATAAATTTATCTAATTTATATAAGAACATTTCAAGGAGCATTTTATGTAGACAGTGAGAGTTCAAATAACTTGCCCAAAGTCATACAGCAGGTAGATTGAAAAGTCTGGATTAAACTCAGAAAGTCTAACACCAGAAATAGTTGTATTTTCCTGACTGTAGGAACTAAGGATGATATTTAAGTTGTAGACTTACTTATTTACATAGCAGGGTTTTTTTTTCTTTCTTTCTTTCTTTCTTTTTTTTTGGCAAGGGCACTCAAAGCCATGATCAAAATGGATTCAGGAGTAGGGAGACCTAGTTATCCAACTCATTTTTTCCTCACTTCTTTGTACATGTACTTAAAAAACGAAAGAAAGAAAAAACACCCACCTCTTAAAGACCTTTCCTCTCTTATTTTTCTCCTTTCTTTACTCTTCCTTTTGGTCTACGTGGTCTCTTATCTGAAGGTCAATCCCAGTGCCTAAGCAAGTATGGGAAAGCCTAAAATAGGCATGGAGAAGGAAAAGATGTTATGGTTATGCTATTCCTCCCTGAGACACTAATCTTGATCTTTGACCCATCTGGCCTTGAAATGTCTATGATTTAGACATTTCTGTTTTAAATTAGTTGCGTTCAATTGAGTTCCATCTAAGTAGACACCATATTGTTGTGAAATAACACCAGACTAGAAATCTCTGCCTCCAAAATAATAGCTAGCCAATCATGAGATGCTTGAGCAAGTAACTTTATGCCTCTGAACCAAGTTTTATACAGAATATAGTAAAATATGGTAAACAGGTATAATTTCATTTTATACCCTAGAGATGTTGAGTATTATTTAACTAAGGGTTTAAAATGATATGAACTTCTAAAAATAAAGTAACAGAGATTTTCATTGCAAAGATCTTAGAAATCATCACTCCCATCCTTACCACAAGAAAAAAGATGAACAGGCTGGGCACGGTGGCTCATGCCTGTAATCCCAGCACTTTGGGAAACTGGGGTGGGTGGATAACCTGAGGTCAGGAGTTGAAGACCAGCCTGGCCAACGTGGCAAACCTTGTCTCTACTAAAATACAAAAATTAGCCAAGTGTGATAGTGCACGCCTGTAGTCCCAGCTACTTGGGAGGCTGAGGCAGGAGAATGGCTTGAACTTGGAGGCAGAGATTGCAGTGAGCCAAGATGGTGCCATTTTACTCCAGCCTGGGTGACAAGAGTGAGACTCCATCTCAAAACACAAAACAAAAAAAAAAAACCGTCCAGTAATAATGGTAGAGAATTTTTCAAAATTAATGAGAACACCAAACCATAGTTCCTGGAGACTGGGAGAACACCAAGCAGAATAAACACCAAAAACAAAACAACATGTAGACATATTATTTTTAAACTGCAGAAAACCAAAAGCACAGAAAAAGCATTAAAAGAATTCAGAAAAAAGAGCACCTGACCTGTAGAACAAAAACAAGAACAAGAATTAAGTGGACTTCTTAATAGAAACCATGCAAGCAAGAAGAGAGTAGAATAAGGTATTTAAGTGTTGAGAAACAAAAACCACCCACCAAGATTTCTATACCCAGTGAACTTCTCCTTCAAAAATGAAAAAGACTTTCTTTTATTATAAATTATTTTTTTTTTGAGATGGAGTTTCACTCTTGTTGCCCTGGCTGGAGTGCAATGGGAATCTTGGCTCACTGCAACCTCCACCTCCCAGGTTCAAGCAATTCCCCTGTCTCAGCCTCCCGAGTATTTAGGATTACAGGCACCCACCATCAAGCCTGGCTAATTTTTTTTTTACATACATATTTTTAATAGGGATGAGGCTTCACCATGTTAGCCAGGCTGGTCTTGAACTACTGACCTCACGTGATCCACCCACCTCAGCCTCCCAAAGTGCTGTGATTACAGGTGTGAGCCACCATGCCTGTCCCAGAAAGGCTTTCTTAAACGAACAAATTCAATTTAAATCCAGCAGTGGGCCCTGAAAGAAATGTTACAAGTTCTTCAGGGAGAAGAAAAATGATATAGATCAGAAACTCAGATTCACAAATAGAAAAGAATCTTGAAAAAGAGTGAATA